TGAGCTTGGTTTCGCTCAATCAGGTCAGAATGTTTTGCTACAGAAACGTTTAAAAAATCGTTTTTTGTAAAAAACAAAATTTTTGCGGCTCACCAGTCGATAAACCCCTGCCGATTTTTTCGGTATTCCTCAATAATTAAAGTCAACACAATTCAATTAATTCAGTTTTTGTTTAGTTTATAAAATTTTATTAGCATAATTGACATAATATGAAGAAAAAGTTCAGGGCATAAATCTGCGTTTCTTAGATTCCCGTGTGTGAGCAGCTGCTGGGTTGTCTCTCTTCAGCGACCAGCAGTAGTCCGCCAGCATGACTGCATCCCACCTCCCCTGGTACCTTTCCTCCATTTGGTGCATGTCCTGATGGAATCTTTCTCCCTGCTCATCGCTCATCGCCCCAAGGTTTTCCGGAAACTTATCCATGTGCGAAAACAAGAAATGCATCTTTATGCTCATCAAACACCCGAGTTCTTGAAAATCCTCAATCATGGTGCTGATGAGCCTTGCGTGGTTTGCTGCCTTAGTGTTCCCCAGGAAGTTGTTCATCACCTGCACAAAGGATTCCCAGGCGGCGCACTCAAGTGAGTTCATGGAGCTACAGAACTCTGCATCGTTTATGAGCTGCCGTATCTGTGGGCTGTCGAAAATGCCGGCCTTCAGCTTCTCAATAGTCAGTTGAGGAAATGCTCGGCACATGTAGTTGAAGGACCTCCCATCGTTGTCCAGAGCGCGCGTGAACTGTTTCATTAAACCCAACTTCAAGTGTAGTGGTGGGATCAATATCTTCTCCCGGTCAACAAGAGGTTCGTTTATGATGTTTCTCGCCCCAGGCACTAACTGCTCTCGCGCCGGCCACTCTTTCTTTACATAGTGCTGGGCTCTGTCTCGACTGTCCCACATACACATATAGCATGGGTACTTCGTGAACCCAGACTGCTGACCAAGTAAAAAGTTCACCATTTTCAAGTCGACGCAGATGATCCATTGGTGTTGCTGATATTGGATTTTTTCGAGCACATACTTCACTGCTTCATATTTCTCTTTGAGAGTCGTGGAGTGCGCAAGCGGGATTGAGGCAAACTGGTTCCCATTGTGGAGGAGCACACACTTCAAAGAACGCTTGCAACTGTCAATAAAGAGTCGCCAATTTCTCGCATCGTATTGAGGACCGCCCGGTTTATCAAGAAGACCGGCGACATCTCGGCAGTACACAAGGTTTTCCTCCTGGCAGAAGTAGTCCATGTACTCCTCATGCCTTCTACGAAAGAAGGTAATACGCGCGTCCTTGTGAAGCAGGTTTTTCTCTTTGAGCCTGGAAGCCAACAGCTCGGAGGAATTCTTCGACAGGCTTAGGTCCCGAACTAGATCATTGAGCTCACATTGTGTGAAGGGCTGCGGACCATATTGTGCTTCATACTCCTCTTCTGTACCACATTTCTCGTCTGAAGTGGTGGCCTCGTCGTCGCTGCCTGGAATCTCTCGGAACGTTGGCACGGGTATTTCTTCGCAATGAGGAACTGGACGACGAGCAGATGGAAGGTCGGGGTACTGGAGGCTGCGCCGATTTTTTCGGTTGATGCCTGCAGTATTGATGGCACAGAAATAACAATCCGATGCGTGGTCAAATGGCTCCCTCCATACCATCGGAATTCCAAACTTTAGTGATGTTTTCTCGCCTTTCGTCCACCGCCGGAGGTATTCCACGCATGTTTTGCACACCGTGTGCGGTGCCCAAGACTTGTCTTGGTCACCCAGCTTGATTTCAAAGTAAGCCTGGTAGGCATGTTTCACAAATTTTGTGATGTTCATCCTATCAGCTGACAGTGTGTACTCTCCGCAAATGTAGCAGAAAACGTCAGGGTTATTCGTGCATGAACGTCGTGCTGAAGCCATTTTAGATATTAGTTAGATAGTTATTTTTTAGTAAATGAAATAGCAGCAGAGTAAGCCCTATAAATACATATTTGTAAATCAGTAGTCTTTGTATCATTTTATGTTATTTTAATATCGGTTCTATTGATCTAAATTAATTTCTATGTTGGTAAGATATCGATGGTGGATATCGGTGGTGTTTTGTTGTGCGTTTATTACCATTGTGTAGATTGTCAGATAGCTCAAAAATTTGACCTGATTGAGCAAAACCAATGTGATATTCGGACTCAGGACACCAAAATTAGTCTAAATCAGCTGAGAAACCCCCGATGATTTTTTGGCTGTTGCCCAGTGTTATCTCTACGGTCTCGGGCTCATACCCTGCTCGATGCCATCCTCAGTCGACCAGAAAATATGCGGATCCGAAAGGGATCCGTCTCCCACGGGGCCGCCTCTGAGTTTGTGTTACACAAACTCTCTTTGTAATCTTGTTCATCCTGAAATGGTAAAATGAAAACAGGACTCAATGGATTAATTTTTTCTATCAATGTATTATTATAACATATTGGAAACACATCAACCGAAACTATCTTAGCTACGTATGTTACCTTAAATTAACTTTCCTTCAAATAAATTCACACTATAGCTGTTTAGAGATTACAAATTGTGCTAAGAAAAACTGAAGTCAACTAATTTTAGATGCTGGTATTCCTTTCAACGATGATGTATTAAAAACAACATTAAATCGAAAAGTCATATGGTCAAACATGAAACCTCATGCACTCACGCGAATGTAGCAATCTTGTTTAAAGACTTTACTTAGAGAAAACAGGCCTGCTTGATTCTTATATATTTATTATACATTAATAATATTAGCAGAAAAAAATATGCTTGGTTAACTTTCAGTTTTCTTTGGTTCTACACATTCACTTGCTCTTGGTAAATTTCCTTCAATACACTTCAGAGGAATCAAGTTTCTGCAGTCAGGTACAGACAACTTGTCTAACAACTGGCCATTGCGATAAGTCAAATTCGCTATCACCAGATAGTGCTTTGGATCAAACGGAGGAAAATTAGCATTGCATTTATATTTTTTGACATAAGGGATTATCACAATGTTTTCTCCTAATGCACGGCCATTAGCCACAGCTCTATCGCTTATTCGGATGTGCTCTTGACGGGGAAATAGTTTAAAGATGACTTCTCGTTCATTTGCCTGAAACAAAAAAAAAGTTCTATGTATATTACATCTACTTTTTCTATAATTACAGATTTACCTATATAAAGTAGGAATTAGGAATATTTAGCATTGACATGTTGTAACGAGACTTATAAGGAGCCCCGAAAGGGTCGCATATCGCAAGTAGCTGAGGACCTTTTCAGTATCAATTCCGGCATTTTGGGTGTAATTTAAAAACAATTATGCCTAATAACACCCTGGAAGTATAGGTCTATATGTCCTTAGAATTGAGCAGTGCATACTGACACATTATTGTTGTAACTCTAGTTTACAAAAGTATATAAGACTTAAGCAACAGGGCTAATGTTTTTGCGACCTAATGTCACCTGTAACCCAGGCCAGTAATAGAGTTCAGTACAAGGGACAGTACTGGTATAAAAGTTACGTGTCGGATTAAAAGAAAATCGTAACAATGCTAATTACATGTATATTGAAGATATTATCTATGGTGGAAAAACCATAAACATCTAGCTAAGTGGTGTGTCCGCAGTACAGAACAAAGAGTTGTGGTGTGTCCGCAGTACAGAACAAAGAGATGTGGTGTGTCGGCAGTATAGAACAAAGAGATGTGGTGTGTCCGCAGTACAGAACAAAGAGATGTGTTGGAAAAGCTGGTTTTATTTAATTATATAATTTCTTTTTCACTCTTTTAGCACTATAGAAACGTTGGAATTTAATTTGTTTCCTATTAAGTTGGCAACGTTTAAGTTTTCAGCGTCCTTAGCAACGTTTAATCTATTGAAAAAATCACTAGTTTGGCGTTCTTTCCTTATTATCGTGACCTCCATAAGTCACTAGAAAGACCGAACAGGAAGTAAAAACTATCCAGGGGGAAACAACTTGTTGTACTTCTGTATTTCAGTACAAGACGAGTCATGCTTACTCCAAGTTGTAGCCTCCTGCTCCACACGGTTCAGATAAATCTCCTTGAAGGAAAGTTCGAATATTGCTTCATTAAGGGAAACTTTACTCTCTTAACGTTCATGTGCCATTATCTCGATATATTATGTTGGCTTCAATGGGTTGGTTTAAGTGACTCAATCGTGCGATGCACCTAATATGTTAAGCCTTAAAGTCCTACATCTTTAAAAACCGTAACAAAAGCCGTGACTAACAGTGATACATATTTATAGCTTATATAGCGCTACTTTAATGATTATAGCATGCTCAGAGCGCTTTGGTCCAATCTCTTTTGTGGACTAGTGGGGGGGGGGGGGGGTATCTAGGAGTTGGTTTTCCGTGCTGCCTTTAGGCGCTCAGTAAATACAACTCTGTCCGAGTCGGGTGTCAAACCTCGAGCCCCCTTCTAGGTAGCCAAGCCAAGCCAAGTTCAAGCGCACTTAGCCTCTCGACCCATATACCAAATGTAAATTGCGGGGCCCATGGTAGGCGCTGAGCCCAATTAGGAGCAGTCAGTACAATCAGCCTACGGCCGGCCTGGTCGAAAATTAGAAGGAGGGGTTTTGTAAATCTTAAATAGGACTTTTATGGCGATCTATATTAAGCGTATAGTATTTCTCTCTTTCACTCAATTTCTTTGTAGCGTACAGCCTAACTATAATTAATGCATTCAAAAAATGTAATCCTGTTTTAAATTGTTAGGTATAGCGTAACTTTCATGTTTATAGCATTCTTTTGCGCTATAGTCCAATGAACATTTGTGGACCAGTGGGGGAGGGGATATCTAGAAGGTTTTTGCAGAAAACCAGCAAAGACAGCTCAGCTCGAGTCGAGACTCTTTCTCGAATCTTCTCGCTAGGCAGCCATGCGTTTTTTTTTTATCACTCAGCCACACATTTCTAAGTCTTTACAAAAAAAAAAAAAACCCAGAAAACTTGAGCTCTATGAGCTACTTTGATTATGTAGGTTAGATAAATAAAATCCACGAACAAGGAAAGCGATTGCAGTAACGACATGTTATTAATTTCTAAACTTTGAGAACCAATAATTTATTTTTGAGTTTGCTTGGGTACAAGAATGCATCTACACTTTAAATAATACCCATTTATGATGGTTTTTACTATTGAAGATTATAATTATTAACTGTAACTTTTAACATATTGAGAAATTTTGGCTAAGGTAGTTTAATTTATTTTTTTTTTGATAATTTTCATACAAGAACTTTGACATTGCTGGTGTTTGGTTCTGCTTTGAACACTAGATCAGCATTGCAGAATTCAGATTCCAAGAAACTTCTTTTAATGTCATCACAAGCTAATGTGTTCATTGTCACTGTGACCAGATACAGGAGTTTGTACCACAAGAACATCTTGGTCTGTTTAGAAAAGAAATTCATTTGGATCATTAATTTTCTAATTTTCTCTGACGTTCTAAAAATAGAAAATGTGCCATTAAAAAACTATGATTTTAAAGCAAGATGAAATGGGAAGTTGCTACAAACACAAACTCGTACATAGACCTTGGGGGTTGGTCTTTTCCTTCACATACTAACTCATATCAAAATTGTTTTTGACACAAAGATCATAATAAGACAAAAAAACAAGTTTAAAAAATGAAAATATTTTGATATCTATACGTAAAACTAAATTCCTCTTTAATTAAAGAAGCCTTTTAGTTCTTTCAATAAAATGTCTGCTAAAACTGAACCCTTTACGACACAGATAAAAACAATAGTAAAAGTACAAAGAATATAAGAACGCTAAACCTGTTTCCTTCCCTTTCTTCAACGTTCGATCACTTTCTCCAAAAAAAACAAAACAAACAAAGATATATGTTGAGTATTGTTAGGCGCTTCCACGCTGTATCTTGTGCATATAAGTTGAACGGAGGTTACACTTAAATAATCCCATCAGAGGACACAGGAAAAAGGCCAACTACGCAAACGTAGTCGACGCTGATAAACGATTCGAAAATACTTAATGAAGAGAACAGTCGAATGTCTACTTCTGAAACTGAAGTTGACCTTACGCTAGAGCTTCTTTATCATTTTTTGCTAATCTTTCTGAAATGCTAGTCTTGTTTTACTAGTCACGTCACAGTCTCTAAGTAAAAACCAGTGGCGTCACTAGGGTCGCTGTCACCTGGTGCGGTAAGCTCAGGGTGTCACCTCCCTCCCCAACGCCATTAACTTTATCCAAACGTTTCCCAATAGGAACTTTCGTTAATTCCTTTTTGTTGAAATAATAAAATAAGATGATGTCCTACTTTTTTTTTAGCACAAATGTAAAATAAGTGGCAATTTTTTTTAAAAATCTCATTGTATATGACATTTTGAAATAGTTTTGCATATTTTACAATGCCTATTGATTAACATCATCTAAATATCTTTCCTTAGTTAGAATTATATACGGGAACCGGGATAACATTAGGTTGAGTTGTTGACACTTTAACTACCACCTAAAGGAGAAAATGTACTTTGCCTCTACCTTAGTCATCTAAAGATCATCCATCGATGTCCGGGGAGAAGCGGGCGCCAAGCATTATTCTCCTTAATCATTATCATCATTCTCCTTAAGTCTTGCTTGTACGTGTGAGAGACATTCGAGGAAAATGAACAGTGTTTCTCATACTTTTACCGTTGGCGCCCCTTTCCGCTAAATGTTAAGCTCTTTTATTTCGAAAATAGTGTTATGTATATAATTTTAAACTGTCTTGTATAAACGAAAGAGAGACATCAGGACAGTCAGATTCCCTAACCATCCAGCAATGTGGGGCTGTTGAAGCGCCCTTAGCTCCTCCAAGCATTTTCTTCGTTCTCAGCTTGTGTCGTCATCAACGCATTTTTCTTCCCGTTGAAGAATAGTCCATGTCAAATTATAACGAAGTGGGATGTTCCTATAATGAGCGCAATAGTTAAAAAAAAAATTGCTCGAATTAAGTCCAATACAGAAGGTGGCAGCATTGGCCAATACTATTATACGAGGGATGTACGCGGTACGCATAGCGCAAGTATGTCTTAATATCATCTTCATGTTCAGTAAGAAGCCTTGCCTCGAATTCGCCCTTTTTTTCACCAAAAGGCGCTAAATATATATAATATATGAATAATAAACGATGTTAAACACTTGAAAGAATTTGAATCATTCTGACCATTCAAAAATAATCACGTCTTCAGATACGTTTTGAAATGTTTTCTTCAAAACGTTTTAAATCGATATTTTTGCATAGGCCTCCCATAAAAACGGTATACATTTAAAAAAATCCTTATGAGTAGAAGATACGAAGTCTTTATCTTACAATACTTAAACTTTTTATACATTGATGTCATTTCACTGGGTTAATTTTCAAAATTTGATTGATAACTACAATTAACAAATAACTTTTTAATTTTACCCATGTAATATAGTTTGAATTGCTTTACCCCCTGCCGATTGGTTAGGACGTTGCGCCCTGATGAGAGAATTTCGCCCCTCCCCCATAGGGTGCCCCCCTACCACAGCTTGAGAAAAGATGCAGTAGTTTTTGCGAGGTTCTAATGGGCTTGTTGTCCTAAGATCATCCTCTTGTTGCTTGTCTGTTCTGAACGTAGTAGTAGAAGTATGATGGTACGTTGGTCTCTGGTTCGCACTGAGACAAAAGTAGAAGTATGATGGTACGTTGGTCTGGTTCGCACTGCCAGAAGTAGAAGTATGATGGTACGTTGGTCTCTGGTTCGCACTGCCAATAGTAGAAGTATGATGGTACGTTGGTCTGGTTCGCACTGCCAGAAGTAGAAGTATGGTGGTAGGTTGGTCTCTGGTTCGCACTGCCAGAAGTAGAAGTATGATGGTACGTTGGTCTCTGGTTCGCACTGCCAGAAGTAGAAATATGATGGTACGTTGGTCTCTGGTTCGCACTGCCAGAAGTAGAAGTATGATGGTACGTTGGTCTCTGGTTCGCACTGCCAGAAGTAGAAGTATGATGGTACGTTGGTCTCTGGTTCGCACTGCCAATAGTAGAAGTATGATGGTACGTTGGACTCTGGTTCGCACTGCCAGAAGTAGAAGTATGATGGTACGTTGGTCTCTGGTTCGCACTGCCAATAGTAGAAGTATGATGGTACGTTGGTCTCTGGTTCGCACTGCCAATAGTAGAAGTATGATGGTACAATGGTTTCTGGTTCGCACTTCCAGAAGTAGAAGTATGATGGTACGTTGGTCTCTGGTTCGCACTGCCAGAAGTAGAAGTATGATGGTACGTTGGTCTCTGGTTCGCACTGTAACAAGTAGAAGTATGATGGTACGTTGGTCTCTGGTTCGCACTGCCAGAAGTAGAAGTATGATGATACGTTGGTCTCTGGTTCGCACTGCCAAAAGTAGAAGTATGATGGTACGTTGGTCTGGTTCGCACTGCCAGAAGTAGAAGTATGATGGTACGTTGGTCTCTGGTTCGCACTGTAACAAGTAGAAGTATGATGGTACGTTGGTCTCTGAATCGCACTGCCAGAAGTAGAAGTAAGATGGTACGTTGGTCTCTGTATCGCACTGCCAGAAGTAAAAGTATGATGGTACGTTGGTCTCTGTATCGCACTGCCAGAAGTAGAAGTATGATGGTAAGTTGGTCTCTGATTCGCACTGCCAGAAGTAGAATCATGATGGTACGTTGGTCTCTGGTTCGCACTGCCAGAAGTAGAAGCATGATGGTACGTTGGTCTCTGGTTCGCACTGTCAGAGGTAGAAGTATGATGATACGTTGGTCTCTGGTTCGCACTGCCAAAAGTAGAAGTATGATGGTACGTTGGTCTGGTTCGCACTGCCAGAAGTAGAAGTATGATGGTACGTTGGTCTCTGATTCGCACTGCCAGAAGTAGAAGTATGATGGTACGTTGGTCTCTGGTTCGCACTGCCAGAAGTAGAAGTATAATGGTACGTTGGTTTCTGGTTCGCACTTCCAGAAGTAGAAGTATGATGGTACGTTGGTCTCTGGTTCGCACTGCCAGAAGTAGAAGTATGATGATACGTTGGTCTCTGGTTCGCACTGCCAATAGTAGAAGTATGATGGTACGTTGGTCTCTGGTTCGCACTGCCAATAGTAGAAGTATGATGGTACGTTGGTCTCTGGTTCGCACTGCCAATAGTAGAAGTATGATGGTACGTTGGTCTCTGGTTCGCACTGCCAATAGTAGAAGTATGATGGTACAATGGTTTCTGGTTCGCACTTCCAGAAGTAGAAGTATGATGGTACGTTGGTCTCTGGTTCGCACTGCCAGAAGTAGAAGTATGATGGTACGTTGGTCTCTGGTTCGCACTGCCAGAAGTAGAAGTATGATGGTACGTTGGTCTCTGGTTCGCACTGCCAGAAGTAGAAGTATGATGGTACGTTGGTCTCTGGTTCGCACTGCCAATAGTAGAAGTATGATGCTACGTTGGTCTCTGGTTCGCACTGCCAAAAGTAGAAGTATGATGGTACGTTGGTCTGGTTCGCACTGCCAGAAGTAGAAGTATGATGGTACGTTGGTCTCTGGTTCGCACTGTAACAAGTAGAAGTATGATGGTACGTTGGTCTCTGAATCGCACTGCCAGAAGTAGAAGTATGATGGTACGTTGGTCTCTGGTTCGCACTGTCAGAGGTAGAAGTATGATGATACGTTGGTCTCTGGTTCGCACTGCCAAAAGTAGAAGTATGATGGTACGTTGGTCTGGTTCGCACTGCCAGAAGTAAAAGTATGATGGTACGTTGGTCTCTGGTTCGCACTGCCAGAAGTAGAAGTATGATGGTACGTTGGTTTCTGGTTCGCACTGCCAGAAGTAGAAGTATAATGGTACGTTGGTTTCTGGTTCGCACTTCCAGAAGTAGAAGTATGATGGTACGTTGGTCTCTGGTTCGCACTGCCAGAAGTAGAAGTATGATGATACGTTGGTCTGGTTCGCACTGCCAAAAGTAGAAGTATGATGGTACGTTGGTCTCTGGTTCGCACTGCCAATAGTAGAAGTATGATGGTACGTTGGTCTCTGGTTCGCACTGCCAATAGTAGAAGTATGATGGTACGTTGGTCTCTGGTTCGCACTGCCAATAGTAGAAGTATGATGGTACGTTGGTCTCTGGTTCGCACTGCCAATAGTAGAAGTATGATGGTACAATGGTTTCTGGTTCGCACTTCCAGAAGTAGAAGTATGATGGTACGTTGGTCTCTGGTTCGCACTGCCAGAAGTAGAAGTATGATGGTACGTTGGTCTCTGGTTCGCACTGCCAGAAGTAGA